AATAAAGAGAATAATGAAAATCAAGGAAATAGAAACTAGAAAAACTCTAAAGAAAATCAAAGAAACCAAGAGCTTCTTATAAATATGTTTTTTCCGTAAATTTATAGAACCATAGCAATGCTGATCTATGTAAAAAAAGAGGAGACAATTTACCACACTCTTTCTTCATCTATCAACATGGCCTATTTTTCTTCCTAATCAGATCTTACCAAAGTGATCAATGGCACCTATGTTTCCAGATCCACTGGGACAAGTTAGCCCTATCCTTCTCTAAGACGCCCCTCACATTTAAACTCTTTGTTTGCTTAGTCAGTACTTTTTTTTTTAGTCAGTACTTTCTGAAGATCATTCTTCTCTTGTCTCCTACCCACACTGGCTACACCATCTCTGTGCCCTTTGCAAGTTCTTCTCTTTTAACCTTAAAAGTTCGACATCTTCATAAGCTTTAGATCATCTCCTCATTTTATAATCTACTCATAAGTGAACACAACTATTATCATGCCCTGATTTGCAAATATGCAACAAACAATTGTAAATTAATATCTCCACAATATACTCTGTTGGAGATTCTGGATCCAAGGATGCATCTACTGGCGGAATGTCTGTTTAGAGGTTTCATCTGCTTTAAAGAGTTCATCTGCTCTGTCTCCCCTCTTGACATCCCTCATTCAAGCTGCTAGTGAAAGTCTGTTGTGCTCTACCTCTTGTTTTAATATGAAATATAATTGAAATTCCTTAAACATGATTATTGGTGTATGTTTCTTTCTCTTCAAAATGGAAAGCTCAAAGAGAATAAGCTTTACAATTGCTTTATTCCCTTCTGTGTCCCCAGAATAACCACATAATCTGGCATAGAGATATACAATTTTTAAAATAATAAATGATAAATGAATGAGTGATTTGAATTTATCACCCATTCTTCAATATGGGTCACAAATTCAGGCTCTCTCTCTTTTTAAGAACTAACAAATCTGAAAAATCTCCTGGGGAAGAATTTCATAAAGAAAACAATTTGACAAAAATAAGATGAACAAATTTTGTTACATTCAAATATATTATGAAGGTAAATATGGTATTATATGTACAAAACTTTTTTTATGTTTAAAAGGGCATCTTGCTGAACAAATGTATTTTAAATAGTATATAGTAGATAAAATAGATGAGTAAATGAATGAATGGGAATATGGATACATTAAAGCCCTCAGCATGTAGTCATTTTTAATTCCTGGTCTGACAATTCACAGATCTCTGCCATAGCTGAGTCCGGTGGCCAGGGTGAGCAGTGGGGGGCGCCGTGGCCCCCAGTTCCTCTCCAGTTCTTTCTACTCCTGACTCTTAAATAGAAGAGGGTAGTTTTCATTTGCAGAATGTTCCTGTGCACTTTTTATGCCTTTTAATTTTTGTTTGCTTTTCTTTACATTTGCTTTACTTAGATTAGAAGATTGGAAGACATCACCCATTTCAATTATTTTTTCATTTTTTCATCGAAGTTTAATTTGTCCAATACTTGGGATGGTTCTATGTAAATGGAGCCAAAGCTTTCAAATGAGAAAAAAAAAGTGTTTGTATCACAGTCACAAGTATGCAGCTTTGTTCTCCTTGCTCAGAACACAATTTTACCTCTGCTCCCGGGCTCTGTTTTCACTCTTTTCATTTCTGCACCTCAGCTCTTCTGCCTTATCCCTTGGCATCTGTCCTCTCCGGAATGGATGTGTTCCCCGTGTTTGACAAGCACCCCCAGGGGTCTTCCCACACCTTAATCAATGGCCACTGTTCATATTAATTGCTCAGGGCATAATGACCGATGAAGAATACTCTCAGATTTTGTGTACAAAAGACGACTTCCAAGGATGGCCACGTGGCGTGCTGTATGGGGGGCCTCATGACTAGGGAGGTAACTGGCTTTTGCTCCTCTTTCCACCTTGTCCTACTAATGACCCAGCAGTTCTTCCCCAACCCCCAGGCTGGTTTCCTAATGGTTTTAGGTACACCTGGGTGTTTTCGTTCTACTTTCAGCTGCACATCTGTTTGTCCTTTCTGGACAGCACCTCATCCCGAGGAGCAGTGCAGATAGCAGCTTATGCTGTGGGCCCGTGTGCCTACAGCCTCCTGTGTTCCATCTTCGTCCTCCTCGCTCCCCCCTTCCCTCCCTCGATCGCTCGCTCCCTCTCTCTCTACCTGGCTGCCAGGAGTCAGCTCATCACACTTCCAGCTTTGAGCAAACCTATCTTGGCAGGGGGTTGTTTTTGTCCCCTAAAGACTCAACAGCCCAAGACCCAAGAGTGTTTCTGTGACCAGTTCCTCTTCTTTCCATCAGCTACTCAAGTGTCATATTTTTCCATGTCTTCCAGAGGACGCAAGGTAAACATTATGTACTACATGTGTGTGTCAGGGGCACGGGTCTGGGTGAATTATCCCTCCCCCCTCCTTTTTTTAAAATTTTACCTTAAATAGCGACAGCAATTTTATTTTGCTAAATCTTGGTTTTTTAAAAATTATTTATTTATTTATTTGACAGAGAGAGAGACAGCGAGAGAGGGAACACAAGCAGGGGGAGTGGGAGAGGGAGAAGCAGGCTTCCCACCGAGCAGGGAGCCCGATGCGGGGCACGATCCCAGGACCCTGGGATCATGACCCGAGCTGAAGGCAGACGCTTAACGACTGAGCCACCCAGGCATCCCTAAATACTGATTTCTATGTGGAGTTCAGTTCATTAGATTGTGGAGTCCTTCTTCTGCTCTCAGTTTTTGAGGCTGCAGGGGACTCCGTGTGGCTTTCTCTGCTGTGCACAGGCTTCCGTTGAGGAATGACCATCCCTGCATTATTGAGTCAGTCCTCTTCTCCTGAGCTCTTTGATTACTCAAGCTCTGTCACACAGTGAAAACGTGGGGCAGTGAGGCCACATAGGATGCTAGAGAAAACTAGCCACCTTTGCTTGACCAGTTCAGAGTTTTTAAAATTGTATATGTTTGTTTTAATTTAGTAATTTCTGGACAGGAGTTGTCTTACTCTTCTGAATTCCTTCCCATTTCATCTTGAGGTCGGTACCAAACTAGGGATGTAAAAATGGAAACAGAAAGGGCCTGTACCATTAGTTTCCATCATTTTCAATACATCATTTTTTTTCTTTCTCCATTCAGCTTTGCTAGAAAGCTGTCATCACATCTGGATGCATTGAGGCAACAGGAACTGAAAGGCAATCTGACCAGGAAGGGAGTGACAACACTAAGGTGACTCCTAGGTGAGAGAAAAACATCGGGAGCTCTTCTCTTCTGCAACCTTGCCTTCCACCTGTTGCCCTGTGGTTTCTCCTTGTGAATGCCACCAAACCTGCTCTCATTACGGGCAGTTCCATCTGCTTCCCCATGTACCGGATGGTTTCAATCCATAGAGCAGCTTACTGACATTCCACACAGTAGTAATCAAAATAATAATAAATTAGCATTGTGGGTAATGACATGTGCCATGCTTTAAAAGAAATACATATTAAACAGATTGACATGATTTGCTAATACTTCAAGTCCATGAATCAACCCAGAGACACATACAATGCAAAAAGGGGAACTCTGCAGAAAAAAAATGCACATAATTTCCAATTCCCTTTCTATTTTCCTGCTGCATTTCAGAAGGCAAATCTCTCACAACTATTTTCTCTGAATACATTAACTTCTCTTCTCTTATTCACTCACTCCCCCCATGATGAATTCTGGCAAGCCAGCTCTCACTAAAATTTCAGTCTCCCTATATCCCTGTGGGTGGGATACTTTCCATCCACATTTTGCAATGATGCAATTCTTTGAAGCACCAATATTCTCTCTTATCTTACTGCCTTAGGGCCATTCCACCTTTGTTTCCTTTGTGGCTCTTTTCTCCCTTACCATTCGAAGGTTCAAAGAATTGAACTTTTTATTTTATTTTATTGAGAAAGAGAGAGAGAGAGTTGTGAGCACAAGTGGGGGTGTCGGGGAGTGGTGGAGGAGAGGGAGAAGCAGACTCCTTGATGAGCAGGGAGCCCATCCATCTCGGGGCTCCATCCCAGGACCCTGAGATCATGACCTGAGCCTAAGGCAGATGCTTATCCCACTGAGCCACCCAGGTACCCCTCAAGGAATGAATCTTAAGTTCTTTTCTCATGCCCTACTCTTCCCACGTGACCACTTCTGTTCCTAGGCTTTCAGTTAATGGAATTGCTTATAAATTGCAGACTCAAATATACATTTTCCAAGAATATTTACACTTGGAAGTCTAGCAGTCAATTGTAGGAGATATCTACTGCTTCTGGTTTTGCTTCCTGACATGATTTACTGCAGCTTCTGCTGAGAGAACTCCATTTTTCCCCTTCTTCTCATTATACCACTTAACATAACTGATACTACTTCAGTATGATTATTGCTTTTAGGTTGGTTTCTCCACAAAAATCAGTGGTACAAAGCAGGATTGGATTTGTTATGTCCACCTCTATCCTGACAGCAACATATAAACTGGCTTAGAGAAAGTCTATTTTTAACTTATAGTGTGAATAACGTAATAATGAGAAAGTGTGTTGTACAATCCATTCTCTCATCAGGTTATAGTCAGACTTGTTTCTTTTTTAAATAATAGACAAATACAATAATTTTTCTATACAAAATATTTAATAAAGAAAGGAAATAATAAATTTAACAAATATAAATGATATATTTTTTCTCTTAACCACAAAGGGAAAGTATACCTAATATTGTTCAAAGATAATTTATATCTTATAAATAGTTAAGTAAATAAGTTGTTAAATAGATACATCAATAGAATTAATTGATTAATGGTCATCATTTCAGCATGGTCATCCGAAAGCAACTCGTGCTTATAGCTGACATGATATCACTTAATACTCCTGAAAACATTTGACAAATTGATTCCATCATGTCATGATTATAGCAGAAATGAGAGTCTTTGACATGGCAGAATACATGGAAGTATGATATTATTTGTCAGTGAGAGTCATTACCATGTTGAACCAGGTCTCATTTCTTGCCCCTTAACCTTTCTTGCAAGGTTGTTGATGAAGAGAAGGGTTTCATGATTTCTGCTCTGACAATCTCCCAGGCACAAGGGCTGTATTGCTTCTCTTGCAGATAGAGGGAGATCCTCTGGAAGTAGTTCCTCAGGATGGAGTCCACCTCCCTGAGGGGAGTCTCTGCCACCCCCGCCTCCTGCATGGGACAGGCTTCCAGGTGAGTCAGCTGCTCAGAAAGTCCCGAGCAGAACTCCTCTAGCAGGGTCTCGTTCCAAGCAGCAGATGAGGCCCCTGTGCAGAAGAGGTGGAAGAGCCTCTGGTTCATCCCATGGACGACAGAGAGGGCTTGAGCCTTCTGCCACTGCTTGCCATCAAGCACCTCCTGGGGGAAGGCAAAGTCATTTCTGTCCCTCAGGCAGGAAAAAGGGGAGATTCTCCTCATTTGTCCCAGGAGCGTCAAGGCCCTCCTGTTGAACAGGCCATGGTTCGGAGGCAGGTCACATCCCAGAGAGCAGCTGAGCACCACCAGGGCCGCCAGGAAGGAAACGGGCAGGGCCATTGGGGATCCTACAGATGCTGCTGGCCTGGCTGGTGTGGGCAAGTCTGGGAACCGTAGCTCTATGTTCTCTGACCATCTTCCCTTGTGCATGCTCTTAAATGCGAACACATTAGTTTCCATTTTCTGAATGTTCCTCTTACTTCCTACTTTTGTTTTTGTTTTTCATTTTGCATTCTCCAAATGGGTTTAGAGCAGTGTTTCTCAACCATTTCATTTCATTATTACCTCCCCTTCTCTTGACCCCAGAGCCATTTTAGATATTTTTTGCTAATTGAATCCCTCATGAATTTTTAATGACAGTTATCCTCTATATCTATTTATGTCCTCTCTATGTATCTTACTTTATACATAGAAAGAGTGCCAAACTTGACTCTTTTATCCAACGTAGGATTAAAATTGACAAAAATTTTAAGCTAAAAGTAAATTTAAAAGTTGTTAACATTTTATTTAATTTTTAAGCTAAGCTTTCAGAGCAGATTTTAATATACTTACTTATATAAATAGTAAAGTATTAAAATCATATTAAATTTAAAATTATACCAATACATAATAATATTAATATGACTGCAATGATATACTTAAAAATTTATTAGAAGTACTGAAAACAATTGAAAATTTACAGTATTTTCCTGACATGTATTTTTAGGTCTTAATTTTTAATTTTGCTTCATATCAGAAAATAATTTTTAATTTCACCAGCTGCTAGATATTCATCCAGATATTCTCAACATTTATTTCTTTTCAGCAATTGGCATAATTATTAATGTATTTAATAACTTTAGTAGAATTAAATGATCAAATATGAACTACTTGCTTTTAATTCTAAAGCCCAGTTCACACTAAGATTCCAACATAAGCAACATAAACAGACAACTAACAGCGGCTATTAAGTAAGGGAAGGCCACCTCTCCCACAATACAGCTTTGAGATCAAGCAAATGATGGAGGGAGAGTCCTCTGGTGGGCCATCTATTCGATGTAAATTTTATTGCTCTAAACTTACATACATTTTCTATAACTTCCATGAACTCAGTGTCGATACTTCACCTAAGATACTCAAGAAAAACCAACAAGATGTGAGCTCTGAAGTAGGTTCTGTCCTTCAGGCACATCTAAGAGGGGACACTTTTCAGCTGTTTCATAGTAAGAGGATATCCATGCACTTTAGCCTATGGATCCAGGGCAGGTGTCCAGCAAGGGAGCAGGCGGGATGCAACAGAGCGGGGCTCCTGAGCTAGCCAAGAGAGGTGGGCCATGGAGGAGTTCAGCAATTCTCCAGGGAGTGGCAAAGGGGTGCGTGGTCGTCCTTTTTGGCAGCGGGTTCAGGCAAAGTCTGAGCTGCTGCCTCAGGAGCCAGCTTTGTCCTTCTTACATAGTTCTCAAAAACTCATCCTTTCGGCTGCCCTTTCCACTGAGTATGCCAATGTGTGGCTCTTTAAGCAGGGCCAGGAGGAAGTCCTGCACCTTGCATGTTCTGGGCTCGGCCCTGAGTCATGGGCTTGCCTTTCCTGCAGAAACTGCTGGCCAACCATAGTCCGCTGAATCGTTTTTGTACAGGGATTTGAGGCTCGGAATGGGAGCTCATTCAATCGCATTTATAGCTTCGGGGTCATGTGTGTGCCTGATGTCGCGGCCATGAGAGGCTCAGTCAGTATGGTGGGTAGGGGACAAGGCTGGACAGCGGTATGATGGGAGGATGGTATGATGGTACTTGAGGTGATGCTGTGATGGACAATGGGGCGATGTTGAGATAGGATAGTGGGGTGAGTGATGTCAGGACGAGGGGACCGTGGAAAGATGGGGCAATGGGAGGATGGATGATGTGACTATGGGACAATGGGGCAATGGGACCGTTGTTCAATGGGATGATGGAGCTGCAGGATATCAGGTCGATGGGACTGTGGAAAGATGGGGTGATGGTAGTTGTGGGAAGATGGGATGATGGAATGTTGGTGCAAAGCAAAGATGGGGCTGTGGGATGCCAGGACAATGGGCATTGGGAGGATGGATGATAGCACAATGGGATGGTGGCATGATGGGGCAGTGGAAGGATGGGATGATGATGTGATGGGGGTATGGGGTGATGGGAAGATGCCACTGCAGGATGTCAGCATGATGGGACTCTGGGACGATGGGGTGAAGGAGCTTTGGGCTGCGGGATGTCAGGACGATGGGCCTTGGAACGATGGGCACAATGGGAGGATGGACGATGGGGCAATGGTAGGATGGGATGGTTGGACGATGGGCTGCAGGATGTCAGGAAGACTGTGGAATGATGGGGCAATGGGAGGATGAGGTACTGGGATGATGGGGTGATGGGATGATGGTGCAAAGGGACAATGGGATGGTAGGAAGATGGGGCGATGGGAGGATGGAATGGGGGATGATGTGGGGATGCGAGGATGGGGCTGCAGGATGTCAGGACGATGGGACTGTGGAATGATGGGGCAATGGGAGGATGAGGCATTGGGAAGATGGGTGATAGGATGATGGGGCAATGGGGCGATGGGAGGATGGGACCTTGGGTAAAGAGGCAATGGGGGGATGGGACAATGGGGCTGTAGATGTCAGGACCAGGGGACTGTGGAAAGAATGGGCGATGGGAGGATGGGAGGATGGGATGATGGGACAATGGTGGGATAGGGGGATGGGACGATGGGGCTGGGGGATATCAAGATGACGGGACTGCGGAAAGATGGGTCCATGGGACGATGTGAGGATGGGACAATGGGACTATGGAGCAATGAGCAGATGGCACGATGGGGCTGTGGGATGTAGAGACGATGGGACCGTGGAACAATGGGGCGATGGGAGGATGGGACTATGGTGCAATGGGGTGAAGGGACAGTGGGGCTGTGGGATGTCAGGACAATGAGACTGTGCAAAGATGGGGTGATGGGAGGAGGGACGATGGGGGATGGGATGATGGGACTGTGGGACGGTATGGTATTGGGAGGATGGGATGATGGGATAAGGGTGTGATGGGACGATGGGACGATGGGACTGTGGGATATCAGGACGACAGGACACTGAGACGATGGGGTGATGGGACCATGGGACTGTGGGTCAATGGTGCAATGGGATGATGGGAGGATGGGACAATGGGAGAATGGGATGGTGGGGCCATGGGACATTGAGGCAGTAGGATGTCAGGATGATGGAACTGTGGGACGATGGGGAGATGGGACTTCAAGAAGATGGGAAGATGAAGCAATGGGTCAATGGAGCAATGGGATGTCGGGAATCACAGGATGATGGGATGCTGTAGTGACAGGGCAATGGGATGACAGGATGATAGGATGACAGGATGTTGGGTGACCTGGCAATGGATGGAGGGAACATGGGATGATGGAGTGACAGAATGTTTGGGTGATGGGAGAATGGGGTGATGGGATGATGGGACAATGGGACCATGGTGCAATGGGGCGATGGGACAATGAGGCTGTGGGATGTCAGGCTGACAGGACGGTGGGATGATGGGGTGATGGGACTGCAAGAAGTTGGGACACTGAAGCGATGGGATGTTGAGACCACTGGATGATGGGATGATGGGACGATGGGATGATTGGGCAATGGAGCAATAGGGCTATGGGGCGATAAGGTGATGGGGCCATGGGGTGACCTGGCAATGAGATGAAGGGAACATAGGACGATGGGGTGATGGAGTGACTGGGTGACGGGATGATGAGGTGATGGGAAGATGGGGCTGTGGGATGTTAGGGCTGTGGGACGGTGGGATAATGGTACATCAAGAAAATGGGACGATGAAGTGATGATGGGGCGATGGGGCGACAGGGCTACCGGCTGACGGGACAACCAGGTGATGGGACAATGGAATGATGGGATGACAGTTTGACCCTAGGACAGGACCATGGTGTGATCTCGTGATGGGATGAAGGGAACTTGGGACGATGGAGCGATGGAGTGATTGGAGTACTGTGTCAGCGCAACATGGCAGCTGACTTCTACCAGAGTGATAAAAGAAAGATAGAAGTGGAGAAGGCAGTACATTGTTTTAGAAGTTGCACACAATCTTTCAGCCATATGCTATGTATATAACATTAGAGAGAGGAGCTGCAACATCCAGCACCTAAGGGAAGAGACAGGAAGGTTTGAGGCAGTTTGTGGGTATCTTTTAAAACAACCAAAACTGAGGGGCACCTGGCTGGCTCAGACAGTAGAGCATGCGGCTCTTGATCTCAGGGTCATGAGTTCAAGCCCCAAGTTGGATGTAGGAGATTGCTTTAAAAACAAAAACAAAAACAAAAAAAACCCCACAACTGAAGACATAGGATTCCTAAGGTAGACTATCCCCTAATGTAGAAGGTTGTGGTAGAGAAGATGGGAAGCCATCACTATGACAGGTGATACTACAAGTGTTCAAAGGATAGTGTGGGATTTACTGGGTATGGGCTTTGAGGAATTTGAGGACTCAAGGATGTCTATGTCTTTATGTCTGGCAGAAGGATGGGTCCACTCACATGGAAGGGGAATACAGGAAGAAGAGCAGGGCTTAAGGGCAAGAAAGTTTGAAAATAGACGTCTGATGCTGGACATGGTAAGTGGAGATGTTCTAGGGTAGCAGGTAGAAATCTGGGTCTAATGTTTGGCGATATGACTCTGGGTGAAGACACACCTGGAAGTCATAATCATAGAGAAGACATTCAGAACTATTTGGGAGGTTGAGATTGTATGTGCAGAGAAGATGTAGTGTGGCACCTAGCATAACATTTCGAGGACCCCAAGGACCTGGCCCCCTCCCCCAGCAGCCAATGGCCCTTGGGGTCCCTCCCACCCTCTGCCTCCAGCACCTCCCCAGCCCCCCTTTGCCTGCCTTCCTTCAGCTCACAAGTCCATTCTCCTGACATCAGGTTTCTGTTGTGAATGGCAAGTCATTTCGGTATTCTATTCTTATAGGTCATGGGCTGCTAGCTTTTGGACCTTGGGAGTAATTTTCTCCCCGCAGGGCCACGCTTCCCTCAGCAAAGACTGACCCTGCAC